CTGGTCTTTATTCAGCTCCTAAATTCATTGCTGTTGGAGATTTCAATGATGATAAACAAGTTGACATTGTTGTAGCTAATTCTAACACAAGCAATATTTTAATTTTTCTTGGAAATGGAAATGGAAGTTTTACAATTTTGCAAAGTTATTCAACGGGACAAAGCTCTGAACCGTCTGCTGTCGCTATAGCAGACTTGAATAAAGACAATCAACTAGATATTGTCGTTACTAATAGTGGTACCGATAATCTACTTGTTTTTTTGGGACTTGGAAATGGAACCTTTTCAAATTCAAGGTTATATTCTCTTCATTATGAATCTCATCCAGCATCAGTTGCTATTGGAGATTTCAACAATGATACTTGGTTGGATATCGTTGTTGCCAATTATGGTTCAGGATATGCAGATGTACTCTTGCAGACTTGTTAATTACACATATTTAAGACTTGAACATCTTCTTTCATTATACATATTTATATTCAATTAACGTTTACTCACAAGATGGACTTATGCATGCACATCTATGTTTGTTTCAAATAAAGAAGGTAGAAAATCTAAAGATGTGTTTTATTTTACAATTGTTCACATAAAGGTTTCGCATGATAAAATAAAGATAAAAATGAAGATTAACAAATACTTATAATCCATAGCAAGAAAGACAAGTTTTAGATTCATATCATGTGAAAAGGTGAACACAGCAAGCGTATACATAAAATGAATAATTCTATAGTAAAATGTCAATGGTTTTTAATCATTATTTGAGTGTTTATCAGTAACTTTATCAATATTTGTTTAAAAAGAAACAAATCTAACCATTTGTAAATGTTGTTTGTGTCATAAGGAGATTTTAATTAATTTTTGAATGAAGATATATGGCTTGTACTTTATTGAAACTGTAGATTGATTTGTGACAAAAATTATATAATTAAAATATTTATTGTTCAAGTGAGACGTAGATCGCGTTATATCTATGCACTTCACTGATACATATATATATGTGCGTGAGGCAGACTTGAGATTTAGGCAAAAGTAAACAGAGCTTTTGAAAGATTTTAAAATAAAATAAGTCAAAAAAGATAAAAATGAAGAAGAATCATTGTTAAATATCTATATAAAGTTATGTTCAATTTTTATTGAAGTCTAGTTAATGGAAATAGAAAATTAGAATTTAATTTTTAAATAAATGAAAATTATTTTCTATTTTTGCGCCTGAGTAAAATCGAAATCTACATAAGTTTATTATCACTTGAAATTCAATCTTGTTCGTGACATAAAGTGATGGAATAAATATTAAACAACAACATATTTTTTTCTATAACACTAAATACCTAGCTGAAATCCAGATAGTGATTGTAATGGTCAATAGTTTTTTTATCTTATGCATTCTAGACCAAGATTTCATAGATGAACTATGATGGCAATGTTTCTAGAAATTGGATACGGTAGTTTTCAGATCTCATAAGACTTTGTCAAAGTTATTTTTGAAAAATTCCATTTTAAAAGAGTACAAAATTCTAAGTGTAATGGTAGGTCGTGGCATTTTCTATGACCTCCTGTTAAATATTTGAACGCATCACACAAACTCGAAAAAACGTTTTTGAGTCGATTCTTAGCAATTCTTAAATCAATTTCGTTGTTGTAAGTTTTTGGTGAAGCTTTTAAGTGTGTATGAAAGGCCATAGAAAGTGCAACAATGCCAGGGTTGGAACTGGTCCAGCCGGACCGATTCAGGAAGTCAATCGGGCCAGTAGATACCAAAATTTCACCGGTTGAAAGTTTGGAAAAATGTTCTTTGTTAACTCTGTTTTTGGCCATAAAGACTAAGGTGTCACATGTTTTTCTCTAAGATTCTCCTTCAAAAGTTTCGTGATGATGAGTGTCGTTTACATGCACCCCTAAAGTCTTTCATATTTGAAGTCATTTTTTCCAAAAATCGTTTTTCGAGAAAATTCTACATTTTCGTCGGTTTGTAACCGGTTTTCACCGGTTGGACATGTAATTCCAATCGACCTGTGTCTGGTCGAACCGGACCTGTTTGCTATCTCTAAATCGGTTCCAAGCACGGATAGCCCCTCATTTCATTCAGAGTTTTGTTCTCTTTACAATTTAATTATTACAAATAGATGTGGGAAAGTCTTCTGGGATCAGGAAATTCCCGTATTCCATTTTTTAGAAAACTTGTCTTCAAAGCTAGGGATGTATACCTATTCAAAGCTCATTTGTGAAATTTTAGTTTAGAATGCATTAGATTGGAAATTTCATATGGCTATTAAAATCATTATCTGGATTTGAATTGATTGCTTACAATTATATGAAGCACTTTATTAAAGCTTTTTGAGAATTATTTTTATTAGAAAAGGAACACAGATGTAAAAAAGAGAGGATCTAGGTACAACATAAGTTTTTAGATTTTTCATCATTACGAAATTATGATTGAGTTGTCACTATCTATCATTTAATAGTAATACTATAATTTTGAATTAATATCACTGATAAAAAAGAAAAACTCTGTTGCCTTAAACCGCTGAAAGTTAATGGATCATCCGTCAAAGAATATTCTTTGTAACGGAAACCTAAATAAATTTACAAGTTCAAATCTGAAAAAAAAAAGTTTATTTAATAAAGCTATTTGATTTTCTATATATTTTACATAGTCTATTGCTTATTCGAAACAACTTTTTTGACTAGCTATCATTAGTAAGAACAATGTTCATAATTAGAATAAATTCAAATATTCGCAAATTATTGCTAATTATTTAATTAATTTTCAGGATAATTGAATGATTTTTATATCATTTGATTCAGCAAATATTACTCTACTCAATAATATAAAAAAACTCGAAACTTTGTTTTTTTTAAATTTCTTGAGAAAAAGGAAAATCTTTGCATCCTTGAAAAATCTGTTCGTACCAGTGGCGGATCCAAAAAATCAATGAGGGGATGGCGGTTTGCTGAAGAGGGTGGCGGTCATGGTCAAAAACCAGTTTTTGAAGCCTATTCAAGGCAACACCAGTGCTTTTGTTTTTATTTCTGCTGATGAAAAATGGAAAAAAATTTCGCGAGGGGGTGGCGGTCGCCGAATCGCCGTACGGTAGATCCGCCACTGGTTCGTACTACGAAGATTGTCTTTCATTATAGTATGCTGACAGAACGAAAAAAGTATAGCGTGTTAATCGAATCAATATCAAATACACTATTTGCGACGATTTCTGAAAACAATTAGATGGGCCGAATTTTTGATTTATATCGGTCGATAGAGGAAATTTTTCCCCATCGAACTGTGGTTTTAGTTTTTTCTAGAAAATTGACTAAATCCAAGAAATAATCGATACAAACTGACCAATCAACACACAGATCATCTAAAGTGGTTTTTTTCGGGCACAAGAAATGGGCCGAGTTTTTGACTTATACTGGTCGATAGAGATGGTTCTTCTCTATCAGACTGTGGTTTTAGTTTTTTCCAGAAAATTGTCTGTACTCGAGAAATAATCGAAACAAACTGACCAATCAAATCACATAAACGCTTCTCATTTGATACTGAATCGATGATTCATCTCTGTTTGTCAACATACTATTTCTCTCTGATGAGTATTCTAATTAATGCACAAAGATATCAATTCTCTGATTTTATCACCTATGTCACCTTGTTTCATCAAAGAAGAAGATTCGAACAGCTTAGTCTTTTGTGGAACTCACATATATTTTCGAAGAAAATAGTGAGTGTAAGTTTTAAGTTCGAGGTTTTGCGGCTCCCCCCTTCCCTTACAGACCATAGCAACGAAAAAGAACATTACATGCACATACCCCCCCCCCCCCCCTGCCTTATAGACCATAGCAACGTAGGCTACTATTACAGACCTTGGCAACTTCGTGAAAATAAAAATTTCTGTTCGGAATTTAGAGATAAAAATTTAACATTTTCTAATAATCGATTATCTTTAGAAAAGAACTATTATCTTTTGGAGATTTTAAATATTGGGTATTGTGTCATTAGTATAATAACATCAAAGGAGATATGTGAGTTCCACATTTCAGCTCCAAAGGGGCTGCGTTAACAAGCTTTTTTTCTTAATTAATAGTTGATATATGATGCACCATCTGATGTCACATAGCGCTATAACTTTATTGTATCGATACGTTCTTCTAACGAAAGACTATATGTTTTTGACGCCATCTTTACTAAAATAATCAAACCCACCAATAAAATGAAAACAGTCGATGTATCTAATTCGATTAGGTCCCGTTTCGTCGAAAAATAAATTCTAACTAACCAATGAAGAATAGATTATATCATTTGATGACATTTTTTCGTCATACTAATCAGGAATAGTACCTAATTACTTGTAGATAAATTTGTCAAAATGAAAATTTATTATAGAGCAGATTTAGATACATATAAGAAATTATTAAAAGAAAATATGAATGTAGAAAAGAATAAATAATCAACACTTTATTTTTCTGATTAATCGCATAACTTTTTCAAAATATAATGATATTGTTCTCTGTAATTTTTTTTCACTGGTTGTGATGAATCTTCAATACGTTGTTTTAAGGTCATTCTAAATTTTTCCACTTTATATTTCATTTCATCATCATCATCATTTTGTGATTTCTTCATGCTTGATGAATTTGTACCATATTGTATAGCACATCCAGGATATGAACGATTTTCACATATCTAATAAATAGTTGTGTTTAAAATTTTATCTTGTGTGTAGCGAAAAGTATTAAGTAATAAAGTTGATTTATTACGTTTATTTTCAACAATAGATAGTATCATTTTGTGTAATAATAAATGAATATAGCAAAAAAAAAGTGAACTTTCCCTTTTTACTTCACATATATATACCTTTGCAAAATTACAGATTATTAGTATACGGGTATCAATTAGTTTCTTTTTAAGGAAATAGTTTAAGTCAATCAAAGAAATTGATTTTGATCATTCTGATTATACTCTTTTGGATTGCAATTTAATTTTTCGATGAAACGGAAATCTACCATATAATTCAATTAAATTGAGCGCTCAAGTTATTGAAAAACACTGTTTCACTTGGAATCAAACAATGTTCTAATTGTTTCAAAATATTCACATGGTGACATATATAAAGAAATTTAAGCAGAGAAACTGTAGTTAACTACCGAGTCTGATGACATTGACAGATATGAAGTTAATGAAAACTTGATTACAAATATATTTCATATAATGTTTTGTGGAACTCACGTATGTTTTCGAAGAAAATAGTGAGTGTAAGTTTTCAGTTCGAGGTTGGCGGCTCCCCCCCCCCCCCCCCCCCCCCCCCCCCC